AAAAAAAAAAAAAAAAACCACTGTTGAAACCACAAAAATGACCAAATATTCTACTATCTTCGCTAATATGAATGACTAACATATCTTTTTTAAGTTTATTTATTTTGAGAGAGAGTCTGTGAGTGAGGGGGGCAGGGCAGAGAGCAAGAAATGAGACAATCCCAAGCAGGCTCCTGTCAGTGCAGAGCCTGATGCAGGGTTCGATCCCACAAACAGATCATGACCTGAGCCAAAGAGTCTGGACACTTAACCGAGAGCCACCCAGGTGCCCTGAATGACTGGTATATGTTGACCAATCATGGCATTAGCCTAACACTAGATAGATAAGACTTCACATTCCCAGTCATAGAATTACCTCCACTTCCAGACTACTTTCCCCCAAATCACTTAACACAAACCTAAATCCAATAATAAATCCCTTTTAACACTCTCTTACTTAGATGTTACATGGTTTCCTATGGTATGTGTTTTTTCTCACTGTAAGAAGTAATAAGCTCATGTTCAACTATAGTCATGTTCCTGGTTGCCTTCCACCAGGGGGCAATGACATTACTCTTCCTCCATACTCTCCTGACAATCCGTGCATACCCCTCTTCGCCCTTACATAATGTTAGAATATCACTTTTATCTGTCTACCTCACTAGTGTGACCTCCTTAATCATAAGGACCATGGCTTAAACATAACTGATGCCCAATGATGTTTGCTGAATAAATGAAAACCATGCAAACAGTATATTTTCACATGGACTAAAAAAAGAAGGGAACCAGGAAATTAAAAACAGTTGATCTGAGGTCCTGGAATCAAAGGTAATATTTCAATTTCCCTCACTGATTGTGCTTAAATAATTTTATCTCTATATATTAAGGAATTTGGGAAACAAATGATAATCCTACAAAATGGAATTTGTACAATCATAAAAGATTCTCGAGAACCCCAACCATAGGCTACACTACTAAGTAGCAAATAAGGAGGAATCCAAACTGCATATATACAAATATTGCAAGCATAAAAATGCAGAGACAAAAAAGTTTTGGGTGGTGAAAAAAGGCTTAAAGCTGTATATAGGATGGGATTATGAGTAACATTATTCACCCTATTTTCCACATTCTTAATAGTGCTGTTACTTCTCTAATAACATAAATTTAATTATAAAATTTTGCTTTGTATTTTTACCAATAAACATAAAGTAAAACCCATCAAATGGATGATCCGGTGCCGAAGTTGATGAATTTTGACGGCAACGGAACCCACTGAGCTAAAAGAGAGTAGTCTTAGTAAAGATTATATACCCAGGGCTTACCATGTGCCAGAAACTGTTCTAAGTATATTTCATTGACTCCTCACAACAACCCTGAGAGAAGTGCTATAACTGTTCCCATTACAAAGACGAGGAAACGGAGGTTCCAAGAATAAATTAACCGAGGTCATACAGCTAGTAAGTGGCAAAACTAACCCTCGACCCCTGTGTTTTAACTCCGGATCTGATTCGGGGGAACGGTCGGGACCGTGCCACGGAGAGGCAGCCCTGTCAGGCCTCACCTGCTGGGGCTGTGTGGCCCTCCCACGTCCCGGACGTGCTAACAGCCTGCCGGTGCTTGCTGGCCTCCCCGCCGGAGCGCGCGAGTGACTTCCACCCGGATCTCCGCTTTTCGCGACCGGGTACTCCACTTTCTTCGTGTGCGTCCGTCTGCTTTTCCAGTCCGGCGCCAAACCAGACCTTAGGGCACTAGAGTTCCGGCCGAGGCGCAGTCCGAAGAAGAGAAACAAGATTTCCGGAGCCCGGCGAATTCAGGCTTTTGGTCGAACAGCCTCCCAAAGGGCTCCGTTTACCCCCTCCTGATCTCTTCTGCCCTGTGTGAGAAA